GGGTTTGAACTGCCAGCCTTCTGGTTAGCAGTCAAGTGCCTTAGCCGCTATGCTACCAGAGCTCCTAATGTTCCTCATATTATAGATGTGGAAATTGAGGCCTAGAAAAGTTAGTGAGCATATGCAAAGGTACTGCGATGGTTGCTAGGAGATACAGAGCTGGGATCCAGGACTGCTTTATTTAGTCCATAGCTGCTGCTCCTTCAATACAGTATTCCCTTCCCCCATATCCCAGATTGTCAACTAAGTTGAAAATTTAAAATACTGTCTGTTTTTATTTACAAGTAGTAATAAACCTGGTATAGTTTATGCAGAGAACATTAAGGATCCCAGTTAAACCCCACAATGCTCAATTTGAGCTAGTTATCCATGTTTTGCATATGTTATATATCTCAAACTAATCCAATTGGTTGGAATAATAATGTTAACTCATAGTGTTTCCACAATAGGCTCGTATTTTTATGCCCATTTTATAAATGGGACAAAGCTTACTTTCCACCATACACAACCATATTCTGTCTCACTGAACTACTTGCAATTTCTGCTTGGCCCAAAGTGCTTTCACAGCCTTGGTTCTGTATTAAAAAAAAAAAAAAAGACTTCATTCATTTCAGTTTAGTCAATTCTTCCCTTGGTTTAAATCTTTCCTTTGAGGTTTCTTCGACCACCCCTCAGAATCAGATTTCAGTACTTTATTTGTAATCTCTCAAGCTTATCGCGTATTCTATTTTAGCACTGGTCATCACATGGTAGCACAGCTGCTTACATGCCAGTCACCCCCATTAGACTGTTGGCTACTTAAATGGATTTTTCTAATAGACATTATTTCTGTAGAATGCATATACTTAGGATATAGTAAACACACAATGTTTCTTTCTCCAGAATTATGTGTCTCAGGTAGAAGCATTAAGCCCTGGCATGTAAATGTTCTTTTTCCCAGAGATAAATTTTCTGGGTAATAATTTCTTCTCTGACAAACTGTGCTTGAAATACTTGGCTAATTAAGATGGACATGAATACTATTTATTCCCAAACTTAAAAAAAAAAATAAATAAATAAAATAATCAGATGCCTACTTAGTATGCAGAAAAGAAAAGCACAGGTTATTTACCTTTGAACACATTTTGGGCACAACATATTGTCTTCCAGGTGTGGAGGTGGGAAATTGCAGGCAGGCAACAGGAAGAGGGCACTCACTCTCCCTGGTTTTTCAGGGACCCAGACTTGTCCAGCGTGAAACTGCAGTTGGACCCAGCCATCCGTGTTTGCAGGGAGACTTCTCCCGTGCACTACACACCACCTGACATCTGGGAAAGAAAGAGAGCTAACTATAAGCATATCAGGACTAACTGCTGATGTTTGAGACTGCCTCATAGCCAATGACCTTTTAATTCTGATTTTTCTTAAGTGCCAGATCCAAGATAGGAAAATCTGGAAGCCTAACTTAACCTCTACTGTATTCCCTTTATAATTAAGTAGGAAAAACAATCCCTCTCACACTTAAGGGAAAAAAAAAATAACATTTGAATAGCTGCAAGTGGACAAATGGTAGATAGGCTACCTAGAGTGGGCGGAGAAGATCTCCAGGCATGGTTCAGGGGTCTCAACTCTTTAATAGTCATTTCATTATTCTAAGCAAATTCTTTAACTTTATTACCTGTAATTCTTAAAATACCAACATATGGAATAAATATTATTAAATAATTTTATAGTGAGGAAGTGGAGACCTGAATTAAGCAATTGTTAATTTTACTCACCTAACACATGTTACAATATCCAGGGGTCAAACCTCATCAGTTGATCTTAAGACCTGTTTTTAATTTAAATTCCTCAAAGAAGGGGAAGGTAATGAAGCTTTACAGATTCCTAGTCCCTACTGATGACATCAATTATTTAGAACGGGTATTCTTAAGGCATGGAAAATCTCTAGAAATTCAAAATCTCGGGTGCTACCCCAGTCCTGTTCTGTTACAATTCATAGAGTTTTTCGAACTATGATGCTGGCAAATAATTCAATATACTATGGAATGTCTGAAGAACTACCTGAGAGGATTTTTATGGAGCAAATTAAGTCTTAGAAGAAATACAACCAGAATGTTCCTGAGAAGTAAGGGTGGTGACTTTGATTCAATTATTTTGGGCAGATCATCAGGAAAGGGCAATAGCTTGGAAAGAGTAATTGCTAGGAAAGGATATCATGTCTGAAAAAGTAGAGGGACAAGAAAAATGAGAGAAACCCTCAATGAGACAATAGCTCGAACAATGGACTAAAACACACCACTATCATGAAGATGGTGCAGGACCCGGTAATATTTTGTGCTGTTATACACAAGGTCACCTTGAGTTGAAGGGGACTCAAGTGCAACTAACAACTATGCTTATAAGAGGATGATAAAAATTAAGTCCAATTTTTCATCTGGACTGGAACTAGCTCTTAGTATCAGGCTTACCACAGTCCTGTTGTGGCAATTCCACCGTGTCCACCTTCCCAGCCCTGCCTGCAATTCTTGTCCAGGAGGCCAACACAGCCTCTTGGGCTGAAGTTGTCACCACAACCGTATTAACTCCATCTAGGGTAGTAGAGTCAAGGGCAGGTGCCCCCTCCTCAGGAGGACAAGCCACTTCAGGAGGATTAGTCTCCTGAGAACACATCTTCTTCTTAGAATTCTTCACAGGTGTTTTCTCCTTAGCCACATTTGATTTTTTTTGTTGTGGTGTTCGGATCCTGGCTTCCTTTGCTGTAGCAGGAATATTCTGCAAACAGAGTATTATTAACTATGTAATTAGTACATTATATTAAATGTATTTATACATTAAATTAGATTATATGCAATATATGGCATATAATATATATGTTGTTATGTGCCATCGACATACATTTTATATATATATATATAAAATATAAATAATATAAATATACTATGTTGTTGGGTGCCATAGTCAATTTCAATTCATAGCAACCCTACATTAACAGAGTGTAACTACCCTACAGGGGTTTTATGGAGCAGATCACCAGATCATTATTCTGCAGAGCCGCTGGGTATGTTCAAATTGCCAACCATTCAGTTAACAGCCAGCACTTAACTGTTTGTGGCACCCCAAAACCCCACTGCCATCAAATCGATTGTGATTCACAGTGTCCATATAAGACACCAATCTTTTGCTAACCACCAATCTTTTGGTTAGCAACAGAAATCTTTAACCACTGCACCACCAGAACTCCCTAGTTCTGCCACCAGGGCTCCCTATATATGAGTATATAAATACATATTTATATTTTATATTAAATATATTATTAAAGTGCTACCACATGTCTGCTCTCATTTTTGTTACTCTTTGCACAGAGTTGATGGAAAGGGTGGAACAGTGTTATTCCCTTTAAGAACTACAGATGGAGGAGAAAGAAGATTTGGGGTCAGCAAATTGCAGCTGCTAAGACAGTTTCTCTGCTCAATTGTCAATGCCAAAAAGAGTAAGTCAGGATATGGACTAAACCATCCATTCTGCTTGTTGTTTGTTTGTTGTTATGTGCCATCGAGTCGGACCCGACTCATAGAGACCCTTCCTTGGGTTTCCGAGGCAGTATCACTACGGAAGTAGATTGCCCCATCTTCCTTCCGAGGAGTGGCTGGTGAGTTTGAACCACCAGCTTTCTGGTTAGCAGTCAAGTTTCCTACAAATTACTCACCTTTTGATTTGGGTAAGCATGTTCACAGAGTCGTTTATATGCATCTAATTTCTAAGACAAGAGAAACATGAGTTAATAATTAAAGTTTATCAGGCCTCAGTTTGGCTTGAAACTATGTAGAGAAAAGTGATTGTAGCATGGTTCCCACACTTCTTCCAAGCAGCATCTTTCTCCCATGCTGGGCCTCACCTGGCCTTTGGTGCTCAGCTTTAATTCGTGGCACCAGGCTCGCAAAATGTCTCGATGAATCAGGTTAATCGCTGGCAGTTTAGAAGGTAATGGAGGAATTGGAACCTTCTTCCGAGGTTTGTCATTGCTTTGTGCATTCTTTTGTGAACGGGAAGCTGAGAAATAATGGGATAAAATTAGTTAAACTTAAATATATTTTAGTTCTCATAATTCAATGAGGGAAATATCATCATCATGGCCACTCTACAGTTAAATTGCTCACCTAAGACCACATAGCCTGTGCAGGGTGAAAAGAAAGAAAAAATTCTCAAAGTTATGACTCGATTCTGCTAAAACCCAGTTTAATGCTCTGCTAGTCATATGCACTTGCTCCCTGAGTCCCTCTACCCACAGAATCTGGATGGTTGTACCAGAAAGTGTCCACCAGATCTTTTGCTTTAATCCCAGGGAATGGTGGAAGACTAACTTGATCTAATAACACTCAGTGGTGTCTTTTTCTTATTCCACAAAACAAATTCCTTATTAAAGTCAAAATAAAAGATGTTTTTGTCTTTATAATCCAGTTTGTCACTGATGTCTTCTTTGTATGGTATAATAAATCCACATTCCAGGCAGCTGAATCTGATCTGGTAGTCAGCACAGTTGATGCCACATACACCACCACTATTACCCATGATTCTACCAACTCAGCCCAGTCTTAACACATTTCCTCAGTGCACATCTTTCTCTAGCTGTTTCAGTTCATCAGTTGTGCCTGCAGCAATGCTGCTGTACCTCACACACAAACTGTCATTGCTAGGGAAGTACTGAACACAACACCTCCTAGTTCCAAATACCCGGGACAGGTGCAACGTGTGACAGTAACAGTCCCTAGGGTTTACCGACTGCACATTCTTTGTCAGGCAAAGAGTAGGTGTTTTTACCCAATTGTTTCATATCAGTAACAACCACCACTCCATCCCACCTCCACTCCCAATTCTGCAAGGTAAAACAGGAAGTGGAGTTTCAGGGATGGAGTTTCAAACTTCAACTGTGTGTCTCTAAATCATTGTAGCACATTTTATGTTTGGATTCTTAACTCCAAGCAGGAAGTGAAGGCAAAAAATACAGTCAGAACCAAAGATATTGTGGAAGTCTGTAGAGAGAAAAGTGTAATTTATAGCAGAGATAACTAAAAGAAGGCTTCAGGGAAGATCGATATAAACTACTTTGAAGGAAGTGTAGGATTTAAAAAAAAGAATTAAAAGCCGACTCATTGCCACTGAGTCAATTCCAATTCAGAGTGACCCTGTAGGACAGAATAGAACTGCCTCATAGGGTTTCCAAGGCTGTAAACCTTTACAGGAGCAGCCTGCCTTATCTTTCTTCTGTGGAGTGCCTGGTGAGTTCTAACCACTGACCTTTTGGTTAACAGCTAGATGCTTTAACCATCTAGCTCCTTTGAAAAGACAGTGTGGGGTGGAAATTTCTTCCCTACTTTATCTAGACTTCTTGAATCTGAGGTGAGACTTGCACTTATGAGCCTTTTTTTACCTTTTCCTTCTTTTACACTTCTTTTTCGTTTGGTCACCTTAGCAGAGGTTTTTGGTAAAGCTGATGTGCTTGGTTCGTTAGCAGCCCACTGTTGTTCTTCAGTTCCTTCTGAAACAGGTTCAAATCTGAGAGTCACATATTCTTCCCCCGGCTTCTCTGAGGAGTTCCACTGGGGAAAGAGATCCTGGTCAGTCATTCCTTTGTGATGTCTGACCCACCACACACACTACCTGCTTTAACATAATTAATGTCTAAAGCAGTAAAAAGACAGTAATTGAAATCCTCTGGCAGTGTGCACTCCTCCTCTGGGATCCTTATTGCCCCCAGTCTCATTTGAAGATGGGGAAGCAGTAATGGGTAAATATTAGGCCACTTTAAAAGTGTGCAAAAACACAGGAAATAGGAATACAAATGGAAAAAAAGTAGAAGAAAGTGAGTCCTTACATCAACCACTACATTCATCATCTTTCGCTTGGACAATTATTCCCCCATTCCCTTATTCACGACCCCTTCCAAATAAATGATTTCCCCATATTATTGTTAGAGGCGGGAGCTCTGGTAGCGCAGTGCCTAAGACACTTGACTGCTAACTAGAAGGCTGGCAGTTCAAACCCACCAGCCACTCCTTGGAAGGAAGATGGGGCAATCTACTTCCATAGTGATACTGCCTCGGAAACCCAAGGAGGGGTTGCTATGAGTCGTGTCTGACTCGACGGCACATGACAAAAACAACATTGTTAGAGGCATGCTATCAAAACTTTACTATCGTTACCATAAAGATGAAGGGACACAGAACCATCTTCAATATAACCTACCAGCTTTTATTGCTCAATCTGGTCTCATCTTACACAACTCTTATGGCTCCAAGTCCCAGCCACATAATTCCTTTCCAAACACTGTTATTTTAGCATGAAAGGACACCTTCCCTCCACCTCTTTACATTCTTAAATCTTATTTAAAGTGGTACTTTATTTGCGAACCCTTTCTAGTCCTTGCAGGGCTGGCAGAACAGTGGTTAAGAGCTCAGTACTAACCAAAAGTTCAGTGGTTTGAACCCACCAACCACTCTGCGGAAGAAAGATATGGCAGTCCGCTTCTGTAAAGATTGTTGTTGTTGTTATTTGCCGTCGAGTCGGACTCAACTCACAGTGACCCCTTCTTGGGTCTCTGAGGCAGTATCACTACGGAAATAGATTGCCCCATCTTCCTTCTGAGGAGTGGCTGGTGGGTTTGACTAACCTTCTGGTTAGCAGTCAAGTGCCTTAGGCACTATGCTACCAGAGCTCCCTCTATAAAGATTACAGCTTTGGAAACCCTATGGGGCAGTTCTTTGTCCTGTAAGGTCACTGAGTGTTTGTTGGAGTTGACCCTATGGAAGGGGTTTTGATCATATATCGGATACTGAATTTGACACATTCCTTTGTGTTCTTTCATTTAATCCTCAGCAATCTTTACATTTCAGATGCAGAAGCTGGGGTGCAGAGGTTACATAACCAAGGGCAGACAGACTGGCTTGTTTGATAAAAATTAAGTCCCGATTTAGTTTTCTCCCAAATCCTATCTTTCTCTCTCTCTCTCTCTCTCTCTCACACACACACACCCAAGATAGACTCAGGGAACAAATTAGCATTTGTATGGCATTTTTGCATCTGTATAGAAGTTTTACCTGAGTATTTGCATTTTGTATTTACATTAACACTTCCACAAAGTACTCACTTTTGGGCTTCCCAAAAGTCTTAAAATTTAGAGTAAAATGGCCCTGTTCTCGAAAATAGGGAAGAAACCCTGAGCTCCCTCAGGTTTCCCTGGCACATTACTTAGTGCTTCTGGAACAAATGACAAAGTTTCTCCACCTTTTAGTTAAAACAGAAGTATGTCTTCCTTGGCCTAAGGACTGTAGGAAGAGGGCAGGAGTTCAAATATAGCACCTCTGGTTCAGTACCTGTGTCTAAGGGAATTTAAGGGGTCATGACCTTTCCCCAATGTCACCTGAAATCTTCCTCTCCTCTTTTCGCCTTTTACCATTTCCTTCCTACCCTAATATCCCAATCTTCTTTCTGACTGGATAAAACTTCTCTTCAGAATTAAAACAGAAACTTCCATTTCTTATTTATCTCCTCACTCCAATATGCAGAGCTGTAATCACACCCAGAGCTTTTATTTATTTTTAAGCAGTAAAGGGGAAGAAATTCTAAGGCAAAATCTTTTCTTCTCAAGAGAAAGATAACATGCACTCAGTGAGAGAATGAAACATAAGAAGAACAAAGATAGACAGAAACAAACCCATCAAAATTATATTTACCTCCTTGCCTTTTGCGTTCTCCATAGTCAGAAAGTTCAGGTTGATAAAAGAAACCCTTACTTCTGAAATGGCCTCTGGCCCAAGATTGCTCTTTTAAAAGTCTCCTCCCACTTCCTACCACCCAAAGGCACTCTTCTTTTTCTCCCACACTTTGGTTCCCTCCCCCTTCTTTTACGAATGCTAAGTTATGTACTTTCCTATTCATGATGTCACTATTGTATGGCTGAATTATCAATAGAGTCCCTGCCCCTGTTCTGCATTCTTTTTAACGTAATTACCTAAGGTCAGGTTAAGAAGAAATTTGAAATTTGAAATTTCTTCAGAAAAAGCTCTTCAAGGGACAAAAGGAAGTTCCTAGAGACTTCTGGAACAGTATATGTGAGGATCTTTAGTGACCAAATTGTAGAAAGAATACAATTCAGGGGGCCAGACTGGTAGATTGAAGAAAGCTCTGGTAGCATAGTGCCTAAGGCACTTGACTGCTCGCCAGAAGAAGGGTGGCGGTTTAAACCCACCAGCCACTTCTCGGAAGGAAGGTTGGGCAATCCTACTTCCGTAGTGATACTGCCTCGGAAACCCAAGGAGGGGTCGCTATGAGTCGTCGGCCGACTCGACGGCAAACAACAACAACAACAACAACAACCCTTTCTGCTGTGTCATGTGCATTCCAATTCTTGAGCAAGTTGCTCATCCCATTGAAACCAATTTTGCATCCAATAATAAAAACTAACACTTCCATTTGCATGAAACTACTACGAATAAAGTTTTTAGTATCTATTGAGTATGTGCAGTATACTAACTCCTAGATTTAAAGTTTACAGTCATTTTACTCTTCTCCATTTTATAGATAACAGAAGTAGGTATAAAATTTCATTGGTAACTTGCCCCATAGCACAATAAGTGGCAAAACCAGAAAGCAAGTCCAGATGTGTCCAATTCTATGTCTTGTGTCCATATTTTACTGACTCTCAAACAACCTCAGTATTCTCTTATTAAAAATAATTTGAAATATTCATCTTTTCAGGATCATTGTCAGGGATCAGAGATGTGAAGTGAAGGAGTTTCCCTTGTGTAGAACCAGTGATTGTGGAATTAATTCTCTCCTTTGTCAGGTTAAAGGGCTAAGGTGGTGCAGTGGGTAAGGCGTTTGGCTGCTAACCC